CAATTAAGCAGGCGGTTATATATAATATCACTGAAAATTGTTGTCATCGATGGCAATAATGTAATACCTCTATAGTTATTAACTAAATGTCTTTCACAATTCTTATATACAGGAATAATTAAACCATGCACCCATTGTGGAGGGAATATACCAGTATTAAGTATTATATTGAAAAGTTTAACAAGTAATTGTTTAATATCGTAGGAATATGCTTAAATATTTCCGGCGATAAACCATCAATACCAGCTGTCTTATTTGCATTTAACCGACTAAGGGCATGTTCCAATTCCACAATTGTAATGGCTGCATCTAAAATCTGATAGTCAATAACTGCATTTGACTCTGGCAAAATTAATAAATTATTAAAAGTGAAGGCCACTTTATATATTGTGCTGTTTTGATTTATTGTATTCGTTACTGGTATATATATTACTGGTATCTTCTCTGCACAGTGCAGTTGTGGTAATTTAAATTCACTAAACGACCCCCACCCCATAGCAGCATACGAGTTGAAGGGGGGAGACTTATAAGATCAGCACGCTAGCAGAGACGTTGATTATTAGACCTGCATTAAAGACAAGCTCCCAGCCCCTGGATACGGAGTAGCCCTCCAAAAGGCCCCACCCCGGATTATACGTCACAATATGAATGGGTTATTACGAATCAAACGTACAATATTTACGTTCCCGCTGACACACTGACTTGATTTAGCAAATAAGTGGAAACCTCAAACAAATGATATGCAAATGATAGTGAAAACAACATAAATACCTCTTCAATATAATCTCAACAGGTGAATGTACTTTACACATTGTGCAACAATGATAATGACTTGATTAACAAGGTACCACCAGTTACAAAATCTTGAGACCTATGATTCAACAGACAACACTGAAACTGAAATGGCTATGGTGCATGAGTAAAATCGTTAGTAAACAGTGAGAAATAAAACGGTGACAACTTGAACGACAAAAATATGTCTGAACCAAGTTTTAAAAAACATAATGATTGGAATGAAATGAAAATTGTCAAAGTAATTGATGGAGATAGTGTACGAACTCCTCCTTCCTCTTCCCCTTCCATTACCATAGTTCCCCGATCCTTCACACACAAAACCCACACAAATATGAAAATATAGCAGTGTGTAATCTTAAGTCACAACCTGAGAACAGTGTCACTTTCCTCACTTGAGTTCACAGTTACATCCCCACGCTACACGCCAATATCTGAATTCCGTCAATCCCATTTAATGTGGCCATTATGGACGTAGCACCACTGTTCAATTTGTTGTGTTGTTTTCCAATATTTTAATACATCTTTGAAGATGTATTAAAATATTTTTATTTTTATTTTGTAAAGTCTAGCCTCAATGTTGTGAATTTGAGAACTACTCATCCTGTTCTCAGTGGTGTAATAGTACGCCCCAATTCAGTTGCGTGGTACTTTGAAATGCAATTATGAAGATATCGTACTTACGTCATCAGCTCAAATATAATATAAGCCTACAATATTATGTTTAATTTAATTGAGATATATTGCACATAGTGATCAAAATTAGAATATAATGTGAAGTACAACCACTGACAGAGACCACTGTGGGGAAGTAGTGTACTTGTATATTTGTAGATTCACATACATTTTAATGAAGTAACCTGAACTGAAAGCAGTTCTATCTCCCTGTGGATGTTTGTGACAAAACATAGATGCATGCCAGCACTGTATACTATGTTTGTTTATTTCCTTTATTATATTTCAAAAGACTGTGTTATAAAAACCCTATAATCCTATAAACTTGAATAGTATGGCACTGATACATTCTTGGTCACTGTAATAAATGTCACATGATAAGACATACCAAGTCTAAGAAGATGATACAGGTTGTTGCCATATTTGTTTGCTTGTTAAGTGTTTAACTCCTTTAAATTATCCTTTTCATTAATAAATGGCGCCCTCACTCAAAAATAAATAGTATGTAATAAATAGAATTTAATGACATCCAAATCGGTAACAGTGTTTATATATCTTGAAAAATAATCAACCAAATAATGGAGGAAGTACTCGCATGAAATTCATGTAATTATTTATGTACTCTGTGTTGTATATAATTATTATATGTTATAGTCATCTAGGCCTTTGGCCTGGAAAGACGTTAATAACAGTTTAATATTAAATTACAAATGTATATATATATATATACTGCTCAGATTAAAAGTCTACTGCACCTGCGTTTCGAACTTGATATTCTTACCAAATACGCGTTTTACGTTTTTTCCGTTCATCGTATCCGTGTCGGCATGCTCTTGTTTTTAGTATAAACGCAATACTTTATTACGTTGACAGTTCACCTATCAGTTCACCTGCCAGTAACGTCGGTTTTGGATGACCCATACCACCTCATAAGTGCAAACTCTTGTACTGATTCTAGACAGATGGAAATATAGCTGCAAGCAGCAATGAACGGTTCGGACAATTAAGCTACTGAACCAACGTTTCTATGAATATGTCAGTGGTTGCTCGGGACACATCCATTAATTAATGAATGTATAATCGTAGTGTGAATTGCATTGGCCAGTACCTTATTGTTATATATTGTTTTAAAACAGTTTCTGTGGGTTGCTAGATGTGAAAAAATTCCCCTTTACTCTTTACAGTAACTTATGTGTAGGTTCACCTCACTCTTTAATGAATGTTAATCCTTGTAGCATGAATGGTTTGTTTGTAATAAGTTTGCTTACTCAAGATGTCACATGGTCATCCTAACATTTCAACCCTATGTACAAGAAAATATATTATACTCGGCCACCATATTATACTTTGGCTATACTTTACTTGACATTATTGTGCAAAAGGCACTTTTATAAGCATGACTGACAGAAATCCAACATAGCAGGCAAACAACATTACTAATCACAATTATTTTTTACACGAAGCTTCGGGCATACATGTTACATGCTAAATAACAAGCGGATAAAAAAAATAACAAAAAAAAAATAGAAACATGAAAATAGGGGCTAATTCGAACAAAATCAATATGCTTGTTGGCGTCACATGCAATGTGGTTACGATTTTATTACCCAAGCCTAACTATTGATAGACGTGTAATTCCAAATCAGCTGATGACGTGCCTCAATAATTAAATAGTAAAAAAATCAGAACAGGGGCAAATTAACTGGATTATTCTGATTATGGGACAAGCCAATAATTTTTTTCTGTCAACGTCAAACTATTATTTCAGTGTTGATAGCTTCAAAAGACTTCAGAAAAAATCAACCAGTGTTATAGGATATAGGACATACTTGTATGCATCTTAACACTGTACTGCTTTATTCTGGTTGACTTCCTACTTTTCATAAGAAACTCAACATAACTTCCATTTCTTGAATTATACCAACTACTGTTAACATGGGTTGTGTTTGATTTATTTATTAGGTAATATTGAGCATATTTGTTTCAGTAGATCAAGTGCATTTGTGTACCATATTGCTATCATCGTTGTTATGGTTACTGAATAGTATAGGATCTACAAGAATCAATATCGAAGTTATCTTGGGTGTTGGGTTTTTACCATCAACAAAATATGTTACATCACATTGGCTGGGTTCGATTTTTTTCTCATGACCTGTGACCCACAGGTTCAAAGTCATTTGTTATAAATCTGTGCATGTGCAAAACTTGTCTGTCAGGTTTGAATTGCTATAACCTTTGCAGATTATTTATTACAATATATTATTCTATATGAGATGCATTGGATATTAATTTTGTAATAAAAATAATCACAATCGATGTGCAACAAGTGCGTGGACATTTGTGTGTCAGTTACACTATTTCGAGACCATATATTATCTATGAACACATTGCATTTTTTGATTGGTCTAACTATATTACATATAGAAAAAGCTAACTACCAATTGCTAAAATATCTACATTGACGGTTGACACGTGTAGCTCTAATTTGTAAGCTGACTGTGCATATAAATATCTGAATGAATTTCAGTTCAATAACGATTAACATGCCCATATGTAATACTATATGTTGGTAAATGAGTTATGAGTTCTTCTCCACCACATGTGTAAATGGTCAGTATGACTACATTGGTCAGTGGTCTGTGCTCTCCCCTCAGCGAACTGCTCACTCGGTAATATTGATTAGCAGTGCCCAAACCACTACATTTTTTTTAAATAATGCCGGTCCTTCATTTAGCACACATGACACAAAACATCTCTGTCGAATTGAGTACTGCGTTGGTGTGTTAAAACCGTCTGTAAACTTCAAAATAACGCCGACCAGGTTAATCCGTAAGACGGTTTATCTGATGTTATTAATGACGTACGTGTTACCGCTAGTGAGTGATATCTGACTTTCCGAGTGACAGTCGTTCTCGGTTATTAGCCGACACTTTACATGAATCACCAAGCCGCATTCAATATAATCACTTCAGGCTACCATATGCTTAATCGAAGTCGGTAAAACAACACAATTCAGTCACCTCGTACTTGATACCATTGTCACAACACTGGGTAAAATCCATGCTTAAACTATTCAAATAACCATATGCCTACCTAATTAATCATTATCGTTTTATGTATATTTCATGTATTATAATTGTTTCATGATACATTTTGTTTAATCTAATAACTAATAATTGTTAACAATTGCTTACGTGTCAAATATGCGTGCACCCAAATATAGTCCGAGGTGTAAATCATAGTATAATGAAAAATATGTAACACAACAGAATATTTGCATTTGTATTGTGAGTTGTCATATGCGAATAATGCACACATATTTGTAAATTCATCACAATATTTTCCTGGCACATATGGTCGCATTAACATTTAGTCTACGTATTTCCTCGCCAATATTGCATATTTTTATTATTTTGTTTAATAACTTATGGTCAATAGTGTTTATAGTACCGCAACTCTCTTTGAAGTATCCGATGATTTGAACATATAAATACGTCTTCTTAGTAAGTTAAGTTACTTACCTAAGACCCGGCAAACTGACTACACGTGCTCATTATTGTACAAATTTATCAAGATGCATTTCAGTTTAGTTTTCATGCTGATAGCACTGATGTTTGTAAGTAACCTCCATATATTGATTTACAAAATTATCACCATGACAGTTATTTGAGTGACTTCATTTAATGAAATGTTTGCTACATGTAGACAACGTGGATGAGTTATTTAATTTATAGAGTAAACACTTTCTATTTACGTTTCAGGTGATTGCTGATGGTGCTTGTAAGTAATATATTTCACACATCAATTTCACATTCACACCACACTATTATTTATTTTCCAATGTCTTCTGATTGAGCGACAAGGAGTATTAATTTTCAATTGTGTTTTCATGAAAATTTAAAATAAGCTAAATAGTGAGTATTCAGTCTGAATATAGCACTACTGACAGGATTTCATTGCTTTACAATAAATATGAGAAATCTCCTGCTTGATATATATATATATATATATATATATATATATATATATATATATATATATATATATATATATATATATACTTAATTCTCAAATTTAGACTTGATGAATAATATTGTTTACTATGTTGATGGGAGTGGCTGATTAATGGTAATGACAATATTACTAACAATATGAAGCCAGCACGTTGCTAATTAGTTCTTTCAAATTAATCATATGTATCTATAAGAGCAGCTAAGAAAAAAGTTAAACATGTAAACTACACTTACTGTAAACTGGAGAACCTATCTCAGCGAGCAAACGTAGACCGTAGAAAGTGAATTTTGACAAGTCAGTAGGTAATGCGAGTGAAGTGTAGGCAGTTTACGCATGTAGTCCAAGTATTGAATCTGATCTGACGATACAGTGAATATTTTATTTCTGCTTGAATTTTCATATAAATGTTGGTACTATTTAGTGATAAATTATCATTGCTCATATATTTGTTTCCATGCCCCCCCCCTGCATCAGCACGTGACTGTGCGACTGTGTGTAATGGTGAATGCCGTGCTTCATGCCAGTCGAATCAGACTCAAAAACAATGGTGTAAAAGAAGCTGTTCAGGAGATGACGTGTGTTGTACACCGCCAGGTAAGTTTTACAACAACGACGAGTTGCTTTCCAATAACAAACGCATTTTACTTAGATTGTGATTGATGTGAACATCAACTTAGCAACAATATGCAACGAAAATGCATATTCCAACGTTTTTTTTTTTCCTATTTTGGTGAGACACAGCTACTTTTTTTAGTTCTCTGTGCAAGCGTCCGACTGTACGTTTGTCTGGAGCTGTATCTCAGACCTGCTTTGACCAATTTTTTTCAAACCTCACACATACTAAATACCTCAGACAAATGCACGTGAGGCGATTTCGCGAATCGGTAAATTCAAATTTCAACTAAATATTGTTTTTTTCATATTTTGCCTGGCACAGCTGGTGACGACTGTGTAGCTGATTTGGGTGGTACATGCCGTGCCAAAAAATGCAATAGAGATGAAAATGAGGTTACCGGTACCGGTTGCAGAAACGGCCGTGTTTGTTGTATACCTGAAGTATATATTGAATGTAAGTGTTCACATTAAGAAAGAAAGGGGATTTTTATTAATGAATATTTTAAATACAATGTGACTGATATGTACAATGTTCCGCGATTATTCCTTAGCCCTTTTGTATGACTTTTTCTAGTTCTCTCTCCATTCCTCCCCTGATAAATTGTCTTCAAACCTCACAAAAAAGATACTATATATGCACGTTCGGTTATTGTACGATTAGGGAACAGGTGACCGTCTCGCTGCCATATTTGTGTAAAAATACAACGAAATCAGATATATCCGGGGCCAAATCTCGAGCATGTGTTGCCGATATACTTCAAACTTGATTAAACATCATAGGTAGTTAATGTATGCCATTTTTATTTGTAAATTCGACTGTCGTGAGTAAGGTTAGTTTTACCCTACACATTCTATTTTATACATATACGACGTATCTTGTACATGTATTGCACAATTCACTTCAAAGTGTATACATAGACATTGCATAATGACATACATACACGCATACAATTGTCATATGCATACGACGTGCATATCCATAGTGAAAAATGATGGTTTCCAAAACACCAAAACAATTCATGCTATATGCTTTTTATCATTGAAACAAATTCGCTAATGAGGTTTTGAAAGCAAATGTTGGGCCCCACTAAAAATACAACTGTTTTGCAAATGCATTTTATATTGTTTGTCAATAAAACGAAACATTCACTCAAATAAAGGGTAAAGTTACAATATAAATTCAGAAGTTGAGAATGCATTTTAATTAATATATTTTGTTCGATTGCGTCAAGTACTGTAAAACGCTTTATTTTAGCTAGAATTCATTTTCACTGAAAAAGCATTTTGCGTGCTTTGTATTAAGTTTATTTTCACTGATTTTGCGCTGAAAGTAAACTGTAAGAAAATATATATTTTTATATAAATGGTATAAATGATTTTATTGTCATTGATTCATCTAACCAGTGAAAATAGCGAAAATAAATTCCAAGTGAAAATTAAGTACTTTACAGAAACATACTGTCTTAAAATAATTTCTAAATAGCTGCAACCAATCTTTCTAAAATATCTAGTTTAGTATGCTAACACGTGCAAAGTTAAGTATGCTAACACGTGCAAAACACTGTGTGATTGTGTAATTTTGGGTTACAGTTCACATGTTATGGCTGTGGTTATATAATATTTAGACTATTTCAATGGAACTGATTGTTTTTATTTTACATCAACAGAAATCACGACATCGCCATTGGACAAGCTTCGACACGAATATTCTACAGGTGAATATTAGTGAATAATTTAGTTTGAGTAATAAAGCTGACAAAAAAGACTCATTTGTGTAGTTATGCGCCTGTGTATTTGCATGTGTTTGCGTGTATCTTAAATAGAATGTATGTACAACTGACGGTAACTGTGTTGCAAAGTGTTGACCCTTAACAATGTCATCTATACTAATTACTTTCTGTTACTGCTTTCCTTTCGTTTTGTGCGTTTTTAGTTAAACTAGTTGGATTGTCTACCTCCACTGAGAAAATAGGGAAAGTCATACATCCTTACATGAGTCACAATTTGAATCGCACATTGTCACTTATGAAGCATGTGTATGTTGAGGTCAATACTAATTAACTATTAATTATAAAATCT